AAAAAACAGTATGATCATTTAAAAGAAACAGCTACAGAAGCAAGAGTTGACACTGATACCTTCTTTGCCTTTGCTTCCGCCTCTGTCCAGACCCCGTCTACTTGCTTGTACAGCTGCTCAGTAGTCTGCTTCGTTCTGCATTTCGCCATTTCACCATCTCAGAGCTCCGAATGGAAGTGTCTGCCAGCCTTGACATACAACAGTATGTCTCAGCCTATATAATTAAATTAAAGCTCGAAACTTCAAAAACATAAATTTACAGTAACAGTACCTAACTTTCAAATCTTCTTTTACTCCTTTCAATTCTTCGGCCTTTTCTTTGATCTCCTTGATTGATTTTTGAAAATCCTCATTCCTACAGGCAAATAAATCAGCATATCATCTCAAGGTTCCAACTTTAATGTAGAAATCAGCTCCAAAGTGTTAAATGGCTTCATCAAAAAACATTAATTCTAAGAACAATGCATCTCTACTCATACAGATACAATATACAACTTGCTTACACAGCAAGTTAGGCAACGCAAAATTAGGACCGGGAAATTGCATTGGATAAACAAACGACAATGTAATTCCAACTATCAACTAAACATACGAAATTAAAATCTTTGCTTCTTAAAGGAACAAAACTTACCTGTCAACTTCCCCTTTAATCTTATTGGAGAACTCATTGAAAACACCGAACTCGCGTCTATAAGAATACCCATTAGGAGGGAAAGGTGGTAACCTCGACCAATTACCTGATACCTACACCCAGCAAAGAAATTGATCATGGCGGCGGAACAAGGAAAAGCGCGGCAACGCATAGAAAGCTCACACAGACCTGTTGCGATACTAATAAGTGCTGACGACGGAGAAGATGTTTGGACAGGAAAAGGTCTCTCGCGAGTTTTCTGCTGGCCATGTGAACCTGCAAAAATTTATTGAATGTCACCCGGGTAATGATGAACCGGAATTGAATGAGAATTGCCGGTTAGGGTTCTGTAGTGTTTGAGTGTACTGCAGAGAAGAAAGGAAGAGTATTGGGAAAAGGGAGCAACTTTATTCTGATGCCCTAATTAAATTGCTGAAATTTGCTTAGGTTTGATTTGTTTGGGTCGTCTTTCTTTCCTCTT